AGCATGGATTTAAATATCCCGCGCTTCATTTGCATATACACGTTCAAGCACTTTTTTGAAAAAGGGTTTTCTGAAAGTGAAAGCGCAGTCTAGATGGGGTACAGTACATGTTCTTTAGAAAAAGGGTTTTCTTTTCGAAAGAACCCTGTCTAGACTGCACTTTCACTTTCAAAAAACTTTTTTGAAAAAGCGCTCAGACATGAATATGCAAATGAAGCATGGGATATTTAAATCTGCGCTTCATTTGCACTTTTGATTTGCCTCGTTTACATTCCTTTTTTGAAAGAGGAATGTAGTTTAGACGTGCCCTTATATATCTAATCTTCCTCTATCTATTCTTACTAGAATGTTGCACAAGTAGAATTTGAGAGTGACTCTGGAGACCCTGCTACTTTGCTTATATTTAGGCACATAAATGATTATGTACTTCGGTGGGGGGGTTTGTCTACATTAACACAGAACAATATATTCTTTCCAGTTCTAGCTACAAATTCTATTTGACAATGACTTAAATCATCCAAAGGCTACAATCATCCACAGGAAAGACACTGGGGTTTCTTCTCAGCTTACTGACAGCACACTTTGTTCTCTGTGTGTACCTTATGAAATAATTTCCTAGCCCCTCTTTCTAAATCCCTCTCTTTTCTTATTGTTTCCTTTTAACATCTAGTGACACGAATTGATCGTGATTCTCTATTTGTATCCCAGTTTCCATTTACATTCATCCATCCTTTATCAGATCATTAAGTATTGTGTTTGGAACTGGTTGGTACACCGCAGAAACAAGAAATGTTTTGCTCCCCAGTGACCTTGCCTCTCCCTCTTTCCCCTTCTTACTTGTATCCAGACCTCATTTTGTCCAAGAGTCTTGCCATTAGGACATTTCATGGTAATCTCAGTGCAGGGCTTATGATAAATCTCACTTTCCCTATCTTCTAGCCCCTGAGGTTTCAAATTCAGCTCAACATGAAATTCAGCCAGCTGTAATGAATGACTCAAGATCCTCATTAAGGAATAAATACCTCCAAGGCAAGGCGTATAGCACTGCCTGCTCCTGTTTTGTTGCCACTAAAATGATTTATCTGCTTGGTTGAAATTAAGAACACTTTATCCCCCCCAATAACTGCACAATTAATTAAAACCCTCTCTCTTGGTATTAGTACTCACAGACAATCCAGAAATGGGCTGTTTTGATGAACCTCAGGACAGCCTTATGCTGCTTATGAGATATTTTTGGAACATCAAAGGAGAGGAAGCTTCTTGAACTTAAGATGTAATCAAAATAGAAATTTATCAGGTTAGAATTCTATGTTGCCAGTGACTACCAATATGTAGCAGGCTAAAGTCTATTTGCCGATAGAGTTTTTTTCTATTGCATCAGTCATACTGGTATCTGTGAACTTGTCTCCCATGCATCAGAGGAGTAGCCAAGTTCTTCTGTAAGAGGAAAAATGTAAACAACAACAAATAGTCTAGTAGCACCTTAAAAACTAACAAAACATGTATATAATGGTCATGCCAATTCACTTTCAGAATATGATCTGAAGAAGTGGGTCTGCCCCATGAAAGCTCATCACCTAATAAACCATCTTGTTAGTCTTTAAAGTGCTACATCACCGCTTTTTTTTTGTTTTATCAAAACATGTAGATGGTATCATGAGCTTTCGTGGGGACAGCCCACTTCTTCAGATGACCAGAGTGTTGGGGGTAAGTTTCCTAAATTCAACATCCAACCACAATTATTTTTCTAAAAGCAATGAACTTTGTAATAAACACATAAAACTGCTCTGAGTGATTAATTTAAAATAATGTCTTTCTTTCGGTGCATTAAATATGTAGTAATCTGGAATTATTACTTTATGAAGCTTTAAGAGTACATTTAAAATATAAAATCAGTTTAGAAATACTGATTATGAAAATGTAAAACAGAGAAGAATGGCATCATGTATTCCATAATATTTAATGTTGTATTCAGCAAGACAACTGACTTACCCTTACTACAAAGTTTTTGCAAATAAATCTCTAACAAACATCAAGGTGCGTCAGAAAACCTGTGACTGTTATTTTTTATTCTTGTAAGTAGTGCTTTTAAATAGGTACCTTTTGCATGTCCAGTCTTCACAATCTGGCATGCAGTGGAAAACACACTCCATTTTCTTTAGAAAGAAATTATAGAAGAGTAGGGTGTTTTTTTTTTTTTTTTCAAATATCGTTTGTTACATTTGGATTCAAAGATGTATCTGGAAAGGAGTGAGCTGGGGAGGGTGGGGGAAGGCAGAGAAGACAGTGGGGAATGAGTGGGGGCTGGGCAGAGTGGAGGTGGGTCTGGGGCAGAGTATGGGCAGGACCACAGGCTGGGGAACTTGCCTCTCCAAGTGGCAGCGTCACCCACCACCCATGCATCCAATCATTACCTTTCACTAGGTTCCTATGCACAGGTTGGGCCTCCCTAGTCCAGAACCCTTAGGACCTGACCAGTCCCAGATGAGGGATTTTGCCAGACTAGGGGGAGGTCATTCAGGCCTCTCTGCCATAGCCCCCCCCCCGCCCCAGCCTGACCCGCTGGCCTTCCAGCCAGCTCTCCACCTGCTGCCGGCCCCACTGCCCTGTTGACCCCACTGAGCAGCTGTCGCTGCTGTGGCCACGCACTGGGGCTTCTGATTCTGGGGCAGCTGCGCACCACAGCGCTGAGTCCTGCCAGGCCACTGCGGCTGCTGCTGAGCTCACAACCCTGCCAGGCAGCAACGCCTAAGCCCTCTGGGCAGCCCTGCTGCTGTGTGCTGGGCAGCCTCATTGGCAGCTCACTACAGGCAGCCAGCTGCCTGCAGTCCCTGCAGGACTCCCTGCTGCTGGCCCTCCACTGGGTCCTGGATCAGAGAGTCCTGGTTTAGAGAGTTTTAATCTGTTTTTAAATTGTGTGAGGTTTTTTTTTTTATGATTATCACCTCAACAGTATAATCTGGGGTGGGCAATAATTTTTGCAGAGAGGCCACTTCACAAATTTTCGTAAATAGTCACAGGCTGGCTTGGGCTCCCCAGAAGGGGTGGGGCCTCGAGCGGAAGGGGCGGGGCTACAGAGAGAGTGAGAGAGAGCGTGTCTGTGTGAAAGATTGATACTTCGTGTGTGAGAGACCGACCTTGTGACACAGATTGAGCATATGTGGGCACAGAGATGGGAGTGTGTGTGTGGCAGTGACTGTGTATGTGTGTGGCACAGAGAGGCTGTGTGTGGTAGTGACACGGAGAGTGTGTGTGCTGGCTAAGTTTCTGAGAGAAGCCACGCGCTGTCTCTTTAAGGGAAATCTGTCCTGCTCTGGACTCCTCTGAGTCACATGCTTCAGATTGGAGCAGCTCTGATGGCTGTGTGTCTCCCTCTATGACCCCTTCTCTGCAGAAATGGGGTACAAGGGCAGGGGAACATCTTGACTTCAGCATTCCCCTCTGCCTTCCACCCCCCTGCACAGCTAGCAGGAGAATCCTGGAAGCAGCTTGGCTGCAGGACGGAGCAAAGTGTGGGGGAGGGGCAGCTGAACACACATGCTGCTGACTTCCAGCTGTAAGTATGCACCTCTGCTAATCAGGTGGGCAGGCCGGAGAGAAATGCGTGGTGGGCTGGATCCGGCCCTTGGGCCTGTGTTCGCCCACCCCTGATACAATCTAATCACCACATGCTCCAAAGCTTTCTAGACAATCCACAACAACATTAGAGTTACAGTATGTCTTTTATTCGGGGTGAGTCCTGTTGTGGCGCTCCAGCAAGAAGCCGGCTGGCTTGGGCAGGGGGAGGGAGAAGCACTCCTAGCTTGGCTCCCGGCTTCCTGCAGGCTGCAGTGCTCTGCAGCAGGCAGCCAAGCAGATTAGAGGGGCGGCTGGGAGTGTGCCCCTTCTCCGGGACTGCTCCAGCACTGAGCCCCCTTTCCCCACCTCCATTTTAGGGGGCAAAGTGAGGTTCCAGCTGCACATACCAGGCCCCTGTTGCTTTTTCTGTTTCCTGCTTCTTGTGATGAGAGAGCGAGGGGAAAATGCAGAATTTTCTGCATTTCTCCTCTGTCCCTCTCTTGGACAGCTGGTTCTGCATTTTCCCCACACTCCCTAGTCACAGAAAGGAGGAAAAGCAACAGGGACCTGGGATATATGACTAGAGACCAGTGTTTCTTAAACTTTTTAAGAGGAACACCAAACAATTTTTTTTTTACGAGGAACACCAAGGATTTTTTTTGTTGACAAAAAAGGGTCCAGCGGAAAGTTACTGAGCAAAAAAAAAAAAAAAAAAGTTGCCTGCCCCTTTAAGGGTGGCCATTTTGAACTCTGTTCTCTGCAGCACACCTCTGACTGCCTCATGGCACACCGGTGTCTCATGGAACACTGTTATAGACCCTACGCTCCCTGAAATGGCACCCTTGCCACCCCCTCTCGTTCCTACACACACCCTGCCCTGAATCTTGCATCTCCATATCCCCCTGCTACAAACTCCTACACATTCCCGGTCCCTGCCCTGACTCCCCATGCCCCAAACCTCTACCCTGAGCCCCTCATGTAACCCAGCCCTGATTCCTGCACCCCCACATCCCCAACCTCCTATTCTAACTCCTGAACCCCCTCACACATTCCAACCCCTGCCCAGAGCCCCTCATATACTCCAACCCCACATTCCCAGCCCCTTGCCCTAACTCTGGCACCCCAGCCCTCTGCCCTGAGCCTCCTGCACTCCATCCCCTACTTAAATTTCTTATAGGTATTATTGTATCACAAACCGCTCCCCTGTCTTATGCCCCTCCCCCGCCCAAGGGGAGGCAGGTTGTGATAGGGCAGTAGCTGTAAGAAATTTAAGTTACCATCACCCCTGTTTTTGACATTATCACACAAACACTTAGCACAGAGAATCTCGGACCACATCATGCTCAGTAATAATGAGGTTTTAAAAAGGCTAAAGTGAGATTTTTAAATACATCCTAATTAATGTTTACTCTTTTATAACTGATTGTTTACTTTTCCTTCAGAGAGACATTGAAAAGAAAACCGAATGGCAGTGATTTTACGAGTCCTGCTGTGAACAGTCCTGGTTCCAAAAGAGATGCACACTTCTGTGCAGTCTGCAGTGATTATGCCTCTGGATATCACTATGGAGTTTGGTCTTGTGAAGGATGTAAAGCATTCTTTAAAAGAAGTATCCAAGGTAGGAAAAACCATTTTGAAAGGCTTTTCTTAAAACTGTGGTATCTTAGATGATCATATACATAAGTAGCAATTAGGGTACATCTATACTGCACAGTTATTTTGAAATAAACTATTCCAGAATAGTTATTCCGAAATAGCTTATTTTGAAATAGTGTGTCTACACTGCAGGGAAGCCTCAAAATTAGTCCGAGGCAGGCTTCCCTAATGTGGACATGCTATCTCTACTTAAGAGCCCCAGGAAGCACTGGGGAGGAATAACTTAGAATGGCCCTGGTGAGGGGCTATTTCAAAATAGCAACAGTGGAGCATCTTACACGTGCCTTACTTCAAAATAGCTATTTCAGAATAGACATTATTCCTTGTAGAATGAGGTTTACAGATTTTAGAATAAGCCATCCATTATTTCAAAATTATTTTGAAGTAAAGGAATGGCTGTGTGGCACCCTTAGTGTCCAGTAGGATACAATGAATACTGTATCTTATGGTTGCTTGTCAGAGTTGGGAAGGTAGTGGACACCTGCTCTTTTCAGGGAAGGACTCAGAATATGTTGCCATTTCAAACCCTGGAACAAACATATCAGAGAAGTGGCACTGCTGAGTTTTACAGATTACTTCACCTTCAGAAATGCAAAGTTGGTATAATAATTATTTCGTCTAAAAGGTAGAGATAGTGGGGCTAGGGTGAGAGAATATAAAATGACAAAGTTTAAATTTTATAAATCAATTTAATTCTAAAGAACCTCACTCTGTGTATTTTAGAAATGTGCATCTATCTGGCTGTGAGTCTGTTTGTTCAAGAACTCCTCCTAAATGTAAAGAGCTAGGACCACCAAATTTGGTACGCAGTTTCCTTTTATCCTAACTTAAAGCAAAGCCAAGTTGTGTTGAGCCAGGACAATGGGATGTGCCTGGAATTTGATTGTTTCTGATAATATGGAAAGGGAGGGGTCTAGTAGGAGGGAGTTATACTGTGGAATGACCACAGTGGGAAGCAAGTGCCCGAGCAGGAAGCCACTGGCTGGCAAAAGCTGATCTGTCCCATGCGGCTGAGCGACTGCCACCCACCATACCTCTCAAATTCTGGATCTCAATGCAAATCCCCTGGAGCCTGTAGGTATATAATATACTCTCTCTTTGCCTACTGTTACAGTGTGTGGAATGGAATAGTGACTTCTGCATCCTTTGGATGGGGCTTTGGCCCACTGTATACCAATAAACCCAGCTTTAATAACCTATTCTTTGGCCTTCTCCCAGTCTTCTTGGTGTTCTCTTAATTAGATCTAGGCCAGACCCTTACTCTGTAACACCTGAACTATGTAAATGCAAGCTGCAATAGTTTTTCTATTCATACTGGCCTGTACGCAGGGGGAGATGGGAGGTTGCAAAGGGTGCGAAAGCACCCCCATAGTCCCCCAAGGAAGCATACTCCAGTTGGCTAGGGGAAGGCAGGAGTAATGCACTGCATGAGCCTCCCTCCCCCATGCTCTGGCCGGCTGGGGGAAGGCTGGCGCTGACTTTCCTGCTTACTTTGGGACCATGGGGGTGCATTAACACCCTTGCAGTCCACATTTACAAAAAAAAAGCACACACACCCCAAGAAATTCCTGCATACAGGTCTGTCATACATCTCTTCCTGTTTTGCAATTGGTATGTAGTGATGTGGAGGTACTTGTTTGAGGCATATGTGACAAGGTGAATTTCACCTATTGGGTAGCACTTTGAGTAGAACTTGGTACAAAAATGGTTTACATTTTCAAGAATAGCACGTGTATTGTGCATGCAATGCAACGACTGTCAGATCTGCATATAGTGCGAAATCAGTACAATCAAACCTAAATAATAAATGAAGACTTTTGTGTATATAGTCAATAAATTGGTCTTGTAGTTTTATGTGCAGGAAAAAAAGTTGTGCTCATCTATACTTTGAACAGGGTACCTGTTTTAATCCTTTGAAAATCTTCATTCACGTAGGTAGAAAACAGTTGGTCTTAATCCAGAGGGTCTATAAATAAAAGTAATGGTTTTCAGTGGTCGTTTATGCTCTGCATCCAAGCTTATTCAGATTTTTGCTTAATTTCCTCACCCCAAAATCCTGAAGTTTCCTTTAGACTACTTAGCTGACTTTGTGTGAGTCACCATATTAAGTAAAAAGCTATTCCTTGGCTCTTTGCAATAGCTAATGTGAATTAAATTATCTGTAGGGTTTTTTTTTAAAGTATTTAAATGCCGGTACTTGCTCCATAAAATTTCTGTGGGATTGCAATTATTTTCTGAAGTACAGTTACACACTGATTTGTTGTAACTACACCAAACTTGAAGTAATAATGCTATGTTAAATAATAAAGGTTCACCTGGAGAAATACTAGTTTTAATTTTTGAGTAACTTTCAAATTATTAAAAAGCTAATAGTGAAAATGTAATTTTACTAGATAAAGAAGAATGTTTTGTTACCTACCTGAAAAAAATTCGTCTTGAGGTCTCGGTTATGAACCCAGCAAGCTCCCTACAGTTCATTCAATCTGAGAATGGCTTAACGTGCATTGTAGAACTTTCCCTGTAGGGGATTCAAGGGACATTAGCAGTGGATTTGAACTGTGCTGCCAGGAAACCAGATATGGCAGGCAGAAGATGCCTAAGCCTGAGCAGGATGGAACCACAAGTATTTAAAGGCATTGGGGAAAAAATCTTAACTTGTTACCATGGCAATTGGTGCAAAATCCATAAGAGAAAAATCATGGGGACAACCCCAATCTCCATATTGAGGGTATATGGAGACTATATGTGCATGTGCTAAATTATGCTGGCATTGCCCCCTAGGCTATGTCTAGACTGCAAGCCTCTTTCGAAAGAGGCTTTTTCGAAAGTATCTTTTGAAAAAGCCTCTTTGAAAAAGAGCGTCTAGACTGCAAGCAGTACTTTCGAAAAAGCAAGCCGCTTTTTCGAAAGAAAGAAAGAAAGAAAGAAAGAAGCGAGTGAGTCTGGATGCTCTCTTTCTAAAAAGCCCTGTTGGCATTCAAGAACGCCTTTTTTCGAAAGAGCACTTTCGAAAAAAGGCGTTCTTCCTCGTGAAATGATGTTTACCGCTGTCGAAAGAAAAGCCGCATTCTTTCGATTTAATTTCGAAAGAACGCGGCTGTAGTCTAGATGCAGGTGAAGTTTTTTCGAAAAAAGGCTACTTTTTTTGAAAAAACCCTTGAGTCTGGACACAGCCCTAGTGTAGACTCAGCCTACAACAACAGGAGTTTTTCTGTTGGAGCAGGAACACTATTTGCTCGAATACCATTAATTTAGCCAGCAGAAATATTTTTCTGTCAACACAGCTGCCTCTATACTGGGGGTTTTGTAGGCATAGCTGTGACAGTCAGGCATGTGGTTTCGTCACACTCAACTAATGAAAAAATGCTGACAACTGTTCAGTATAGACTGAGCCTCCATTTTTCTTCCCTCTGAACCATGTAGGTGATTTGACATTAAGATATTTGAGAAATCCCTTAACTCTTTTTTAATTGTGGTGTACTTCACAGAGGGAAATTAGTATCTTTTGCTTTGAGCAAGATTAATTTGCTTGCTCTCAAATATTTGTAGTAATTTATGATTCAGTTCTGCTTTTACTGAAGTAAGTGGGAGTTTTGCCACATAATTTTGTTTTTCTATGGAACATATGTAGTACTATGCCTTTGCTTGAGGCTTTTCACATTTCTTTGGAGCATACTTTCTATTCTGGTGTTTACAGATCTTTGCAACTGTACAATTTTGTATTGTTAGCACAGCTGCATGCTGAATAGCAGAGTTATGTTCTTTATGGGCAAGTAAACAAAAACAAAACCCATAATACTTATCTTGTGGAACTCACAATCTATATTAAATTTACAGTTGCAATAGATTAGAGGTGGATGCAATAAAAGACAAAGCCTTTTACGGTTTTAATTTTCAGAGAAAATTTAGAAGTATTTTAAAAGTAAATTTCAACATTATTTAGCACATATGCCCCTTAATTAGAAAAATGGTGCTCTGGAATATCTACAGTTCAGATAAAAGTCTCTTTAGCTGATCAGTTTTAGGACTGAATTCTGTCTGCATTGGAGTCAATAGCACAAAAATGCCCTAAATCTGCAGAATGGATTGAGTGATTTATCACAGTCTCAGACTTGCCCCCTACCCCAGCCCAGCCCTGACTAGCAAGCCTGCAGATAGCCCTCCATGACTATTCAGCATGTGAATGATTCCTTAAAGATTTTTTAGTGGAGCAGTGATAAAAGAATGGTTAAAACTTCTAGTCACTCTTTATGGCATGCTTTCTCCATCCTTATGCAAATTTCTAAGAAGAAAGCCAAATGGGAATTAATGTTACTAAAAGAAGTCATAATCCCCTCTGAGCCCTCTGTGTGACTTTCACACACAGCTGCTGTGTTAGCCTTCAATGGCAGCATGACTCCTGAAGGGGAGATTTTTTTTCCCCTCTCTAATTTCAGATAGTTTATTTTGCATTTGATAGCACTTAGTATGTAATCATTTTCACTGTTTCCTCTGTATAGTCAGATTCACATAAATAACAGGAGAAGCCGGTTATCATACAAAGAGAAACGAATATAAAACCCCATCTAGACTACAGGGAACGGTCTCAAGAAGATATGCAAATTCCACGGGAATTTGCATATCTTTTCTAAACTTCCTTTTTTGAGGAAGAATGGCTTTTCAACAAAGGGGGTGGTTCGCTGAAAAAGCCACATCTTAATTACTTTCCCGTGGAATTGGCATATACTCTTTCGACTGTTCTGCGTTGTCTAGATACACCCAAAATGTGATTGTAAAATCACAGCAATTGAACAGTATTGAAACTACTGCAAAATAATTTTTAATCAGACTGTGTTTCAGGTGGAGCTTATCTCTTTACTATGGGCAAGGTTCTTGCCTCTGCTTCAGTCCCTTTTGTGCCAGGTAAAGTGATTCTAAAAATCTCTCAGTTTGACTAATAGAGAATTGTTCTGGTGAGGGTACTGCAGAAGACAGTCGTGTGCTGTCCAAGTGTCTCTTTTCAAGACATTTAGCAAAGCAGGTGTAAATAGAATGCTGGGGTACAGCTGGGGTGAAAGAAATGTTCAGAGCTGAAATCACAGCATGTATTGCAGAGGAGATTATGTGCAGCACAGTTTCCAATATGCAGGCAGATATAGACTGTTATAACTTGATAAACTTAAAAAACAACAAATAGTCTGGTAGCACTTTGAAGACTAACAAAACATGTAGCTGGTATCATGAACTTTCATAGACACAGCCCACTTCTGTGCCCACGAAAGCTCATGATACCATCTACATGTTTTAGTGATAGAAATGTAGCCGTGTTAGTCTGGGGTAGTTGAAGCAAAATGCAGGACAATGTAGCACTTTAAAGACTAACAAGATGGTTTATTAGATGAAGTGGGTCTGGCCCACGAAAGCTCATCATCTAATAAACCATCTTGTTAGTCTTTAAAGTGCTACATTGTCCTGCATTTTGCTTCATCTACATGTTTTGTTAGTCTTTAAAGTGCTACCAGACTATTTGTTGTTTTTTAAGTTTATCCTATACAGACTAACTTGGCTACCACCTGAAGCTTATAACTTGGTTAGTCTCTCAGCACTATCTAAATTCCAGGAGCTGCTCTCTAGACCCTGGAGAAATTAAAAATTAGAAGGCAACAAAGATGGCCTAAAGCCACCTTATATCCTTTCTATGTAGGCTGGAGTGCTTTTTTATCAGTCAGACCTGCTGTTTGTCATTAGGCAAAATGTAACCTGCTGGTTTTTAAGTACTGTAGGTTGAAAAATTCAAGGTGGTAAAGTGTGTTAATTTTACAGGGAAATGTTCACAATAGCTCAGTTAAATTAGTTACCCTTGGGAAACAATTCCCAAACTGCTTGTTTATGAACTAATAACACAAAACCTTCTGTTATTTTTTATCTATTAATTTTGAATAATTTTACATCAACTACAAATACAAATTAACCCCTCTGAAAAATACCAGAGAGAAGACTGATAAATTATTGTGTTTGAAAGAGAATATTTTGCATCCTTAGCTAATCCATACAAGGGAAATGTAAAGTATTTTACAGAAAGCGACTTGGTAGTATTTAATTAATAAAATAATAGTCTACTCTTTTACGCTAGTGAAATTTGAGGCAAAATTCTCTGTAGATGAAATTCCACGGAAACCAATGTCATTGTGCTAGCACTGATAATGAAAATCTGCTTTGTAGAATATCTAGAATCAGAATGTTTGACATTTCATACTGCATGGAAATTAGGCACTTTGGGTAAAATTTCCAAAAACAGTTAAGTCCAATTTTCAAAAGTGACTTAGAAATTTAAGAGCCTACTTCCCATTGACTTTGCTAATACTTAAGACCTTAAGTGACACAGGCACTTCAAAAAATTCAGTCTTTGGCCCTGGTTCAGGTAAGCACTTAATACATTAAGTAGAAAAATGTGCGTCATTGATGTAAAGGCTTAAGTGCTTTCCAGAATCAGTGATCATATTTATTACACTCAGTAACAATAGCATATACCTTTGCTTTTTTATCTTTTGCTCTAACAATAGTATTCAGGAAAATCTTAAACAACAAATAGTCTAATAGCACTTTAAAGACTAAATAGTTACAAAAGGCTGATAAGAACCAATGAAGGGGCTAATGGTTAATTGGTTGGTTAAGTCATTAAGATGTGGAAGATAATGTGGGAGCCAGCCGATATCTATTCATACATTTGCATAAGAATTAAACTTGTGAATGAAGTTAAGTTCCAACTCTTCTCTGTGTATTTGGCTTGTGGAATTGGTCTGAAATAAAACAGCAATTTGGAGATTCATTGAGTGTTCAGGAAGACTAAAGTGTTCTCTAATAGGTTTTTGTGTATTGCCTTTTCGAATATCTGATTTGTGTCCATTAATTCTTTCCCGTAGACACTGTCCAGTTTGGCCAATATGGCATTGCTGGCATAGATCACATTAGTGGATGTGCAGTTAAATGAGCCTCTGACTTGGTGGCTGATGTGATTGGGTCCAGTGATGAAATCACTGGTCTATTCAGCATTATGTCAGCTACAAACTGTCAAGTTAAGGAGAGATTTAACATATTGCTTGACATTTAAAAGCTTTTTCTTTATATCCTGTTGCAGGACACAATGATTACATCTGTCCCGCTACCAATCAATGCACAATAGATAAAAATAGGCGTAAGAGCTGTCAGGCATGTAGACTACGGAAATGCTGTGAAGTAGGAATGATGAAATGTGGTGAGTTTTTATCCCCTTATCTTTTCTAAGCAACTTCTAAGGACTGTGTAAGTTTTAAAAAGGCATGACAGGTAACTACAGTAAGACAGATTTACATGTAGGAAGAAAATTGCTGATTTACACCAGAAAAATAGACACTTCAGTTAGTGTTCATTTTGAGAAGGAAAAATAGTAAGAAGCCTTTAGGCTCTAGTCCTGCACTGTGTAGCACACACAAAGATTGCTTTACCCTCTGCAGATGCTATCTGAAGGCAGTTTGCTTGGTTGCCATGCTGTGCAGGATCAGGTCCTACAGCCATGTCTACACTAACAAGTTTACAAAGGCACAGGTGTGCTCATGTAGCCACATTATGCTGATGGGAGAGAGGTCTGCTGTCGACATAACAAAACCAGCTCAATGAGCGGCAGTATCTATATTCACAGGAGAGAGTCTCCCACCAACATAGCGCTGTGCACATGTCAGCAAAACATGTTGCTCATGGATGTGTTTTTTCACACCGTGAGCGACAAAAATTTTGCCAACATCAGTACTACTGTAGACATGGCCTAAGTCTTTCACAATGGAGAAAGGTAAATAGTGGAGTTCCCACAGGATCTGTACTGGGATGTGAACAACATATTCATAAATGATCTGGAAAAGGGTGTGAACAGTAGTATGGCAAAATTTGCAAATAATAGAAAGTTTCTCAAGATAGTTAAGTCCAAAGTTTAGCTATCACAGCATTAGAAGGAGATCTCCCAAAACTGGGCGACTGGGCAACAAAATGGCTAATGAAATTCCATGTTGATAAGTGGAAAGTAATGCACATTGGAAAAAGCATCTTGACTATAAGCACAAAATGATGGTATTTAAATTACTTGCTACTACTCAAGAAAGATCTTGAAGTCATTGTGGTTAGTTCTCTGAAAACATCTGCTCAGTGCATAGCAACAGTCAAAAGAGCCACTAGAAAGGGAGAGGTTATAAAACAGCAGTGGCCCTGGAACTATTTTTAGGGTAGGAGTGCTGAGTTTCCTCCCTTCTCTTACCTCTGTTCACCACCTACCACTCCAGGCTGGGGCATGTATAGGGTTGCCAGCTCTCCTGAACTGGATGCCATTACCGCTAATGGCATCCAGTATGTCTTATCGAGGAGAGTTGGCAACCCAAGCCACAGCTGGAGGTGGCTACAGAGCCCAAGGCTAAGGCCAGGAGCAGCGGCAGGACCCTGAGAAGCAACAGAGCTTCCAGGACTGGTGGCCTGGACCCTCGGGACAAGAGGCTACAGAGACCACAGGAATGGCAGGTGGCAGGACCCAGGCTGGTAGTGAGTTGGCAATGGGCTGGCACCTGTTGCAGGAAAAGCTTCTTGGAAAATCTGGGAGGTGCTGCAGCATTCCCCACCCCCCTGCTTCCTGCACCCATGTAAAAGAAGTGCAGAGAAGAACAAGGAAAATGAATAAAAGGTATGGAACTACATGAGGAGACACTTTAAAAACTAAGGTTGTTCAGTGTAAAAAAGAGATGACTAAGTGGGATAGGACAGAGATCTACAAAATCATGAATGACATGGAGAAAGTGACTAGTGAAGTGTTATTTTCCTCTTCACATAGTCAGCAAGTTTAAAACAGACATAAGGAAGTACTCCTTCGCACAGCACACAGTCAATCTGCGGCACTCACTGTCCTGGGGATGTTGTGAAGTCCAAAACTATAACTGGTCTAAAAAATAATTAAGTAAGTTCATATAAGATATGTTCATCAGCGGCTGTCAGCCAAGGTGGTAAGAGATGCCCCATGCTCCAATGTACCTACTCCTCCAACTGCCAGAAGCAGGGACTGGACAGTGGGAGATAGACCACTCAAAATTACTCTGGTCTGTTCATTTCCTCTGAATTCCCTCTGAAGCTTCCGGCACTGGCCACTGTTAGATATAGGCATGTGAATGGGTAACTGGTTAACCGGTTACCTGGTAAGCATCTCTTAGTAAGGGTGATACTTACCAGGTAACTGTTAAATGGGGTTGGGGAGGAGCTCCTCTCTGGGCCCACCACTCTATGGTCCAGGGCAGGAGCTGGCAGCTCTGTGCAGGTCTGGTAGGTGGGGTCAGCAGAGCTATAGATTCTCTAGTTCTCTCATGAATCTCACCATTAATGCCTGATCATTAAGTGACTAAATACCTTAAAAAACCTGGCCTTTAGGAACCTAATGCCCATTGACTTTCACTAAGATGTAGGTGCCTAAATACCTAATTTCAATTTGAAAATTCAATTTAGGGTCCTAACTCACCTAGCCACGTTGGCAGATTTTATTCACCAGTTAGACACAGCGACTTTGGTGGGACAACTCACAATCCATAAAGACAATCAATGTAAGTCTTTGCAGGAAGGGGAGTTTAAAAAGAATGCTAGAGAATGGTTTTTAAAACTGACCAAAAATTGTTGTAATTGTGCCAAGAAAATAAATATTTAAAACACTTCTTTAAGTTCTCTGAGGCAGAGACTGTCTCTTTTGTTCTGTATTTGTCTAGTGCCTAGTACAATGGAGTTCTGGAAAATGACTAAAGCTCTTGGCATGACGGTAACAATATTGATCTAAATCATGGACTGAAACTGTTCATTTATCTTCTTAAATTTATAGAACTAGAATTTTTACTATTTTCTACCAAATATACTCATGATCTAATAACATTCTATGTATTTGACTAAAGCTGCTCCTTAAAAATGCTTAAACGTGAGAATATTAAAGACAGATTACATTAGGTTTTTTTTTTAAATAGTTACATTGAAATTGGATAATAAATCTTCTCAAGAATTTCATTCGAGGATTCTGTCTAGTTCAGTTTTTTGGAAGATGAAAACAGAAATTACATATCTTGCAATCAAAACTGAATTGTCTCAAAGCATCTCATCAGGTCACTTACAAGACATCTGTGAGAAAAGGTGATGTCTATCAAATTTAGATTTTGGATTGACATGAACAACAAAAGCCTACTTTAGTATTATGGATTATAGGCTCAATCCTACAGTTCTTTAGGTAAAGCTCTTATTGCCTTCCCTATGCCCATGCATTTATAGCAAACTGCCATAATTAAAGCTGTATTTTAATAGAAAATAAAATACTGTTTTTCACGGAGCAAACTAATGAATTTTCCATTCTTTTTTTTCTTGTTAGAGTTTTGCTTTAATAGGACTGTTTCCTCTAGGGACTAGGAGGGAGTAGTTTGTCTTAATTTGAGGTTTCTTCCCCCTCTTCTATTGAATGGCTTGGGTCAGTCCACTTTTTGATGCTGAAATACAGATGGCTTGTGATACCTGGGTAGGGGGACTTTTGGCAAGATGGGAGCTCTGCAGCCTGGTATGGATCTCTGCTTCCCAGCAGAAAGGAACATAGTCTATTATGCATTGGCCACCACAGTATGGAAAGTGTCCATAAAACCCAAACCTAAAGTGAGTTTGCAAAATCTGACATGAATATAATTCCAGATTTTAAAACCAACAAATGCTCATTGGGGATTTCATCGAAAGAAGCTTTAAATATTTTAAAAATATGATTGGATAGTACATAAACCCTTTAAAACAGTGGAAGATGTTCAGAAAACATTGCTGTGCAGTCTCCTGGTCTGATTTTTTTCTTCCCATCATTTAAGAAGTCCAAGCAGCAGAACACAGGCAATGGGTGAATGTTATTTTTTTAGAACTTTGTATCCAAGTGACGCTGGAGATTAATATGGGAAATACCACCATTGCCAAAAGAAAAATGAGATTATCAAATACTGCATCTGCAAGTTTATCATCTTTGTGGCTCACTCTTCAGATTAAGAAGGCTAGTATACTGGTAAATTTCACAGAGAAAACACATCAACATCATCAGAAAAAATACCCAAATGACCAGTTGTGGAAAAGTAACTGCTTAACACCTCACCAGGTGCAAGGGAAAAACAGAATTCATGCAAAAAAATCTGAAATCAAACCAAAACAGTCCAGCAGGCTCAGGCAAAGCGTACCAGAAAAGCTGGATAGTTTGTGAGTGATGTGTGTGCATCACCATGCTGATTACCCTCTCTACATGAGCCTATCCTTGAAGTATGGGTGTCTTTGCCCTCAACTTGTCTTACTTTTTCAGTGTGGCCTGGGAGCTCCTTTTGAAGCGTTGGAGGAGCTGAGACGATTTGGAATTCCGCTGCCTCAGCTGAATATCTTTTGGAGCTTTCTGGTATTGACCTTGGTGAGCCTGACATGGACTGAGCCATTTATCCAGGGCAATCAAGACGAGGGGAGGTACTTCATCTTTTTGCTATCCTTTCTTTTTTTTCCTTTCTTATCCACTCTGGGAGTGGCTAGGTTGGTATTTTTTGTTTGTTTATTGCTTGCTAGGACTGAAGTAAACCACCTCTTTAATGATTCTTCAGGTTTCCTATTGACTGGGTTCATTTAAACATTTACTGTTACTTTTTTTGCATGAATTTTGTTTTTCCATGTGCTGCCAATGAATGGTATTAATAGAGTTTAGAAAATAAAGAGCCTAATTTTTCAAATTTGTTGGTCATTAATGGGATGTCCAAATCTTGTCTTTCAATAGTTTCATCAGTCAATAGACATGATACACTTTTTACAAGCTCATGTACCGGTTTGATTTGCCAAATGCAGGAGTTATATGTCCTTTCCCCCAAGTTAGAAAACGGAACTCACTTTTTAGATGGAATTTTCAAATATGGAAAGTTTACTTACATTGGTAGAAATGAAAAAGAATGACTTTGACAGCACTGTGTAGATTTCAAATTCAGTAACTGCATTGGCTTTTATTGCCGCTGTTGTAGAAATTGTAGTAACTTAATCCACTATTTTGCAATGTTTGGCAGACAGCAACTTCTTTGTGATCTGTACAGCTGAATGAATCTGTGGGTACTCATTCAAAAATACATATGAATACATATAAAAATAAAGCTCAAATATCAAACAGTACTGAACGTTGAATTGTGTATTCATTTGTAAAATACACAGTTCATGCTGATTTTGCTA